GACCGCTCGTAACGCCGGCTTCGGCATGCTGGCAGTCGGCTGCGTGGTGGCCCTGTTGGGCGGCTATGTTTATGTCGACTACGCTGCGATGCCGTGGCGTGGAGGCGTGATCGCACTTTGCCTGTCGATTTGCGTGGTCGCCTACGACGCGGTCCTCAAGCGAACGGCACTTGCCCCATGGCTGATGGGAGCGTGTCGATTCTTCAATATCTTGCTCGGCATGAGCCTGGCCAAAGAATTGCCGCTCGACGGAAGCTGGCAGCTGCTTGGCTACGACACCGGGCAATTCATGTTCGCGGGGGGGATCGGGCTTTATATTGTTGGCGTCACATGGTTTGCTCGGACCGAAGCAGTCGAAAGCAGCCGAGCGATGCTATCACTGGGGGCTGCGTTGATGCTGATCGGGATCAGTTTGCTCGGATTTTTACCCTGGATTCAGCCTTCCATTGTTGATATCGATCAGGTCAAATCGTTCGGGCTGTGGGGGATTTTGGTATTATTGAGTCTGGCTTTAGGACGTCGGGTTGTGATGGCGATCTATTCTCCTGTGCCAAGAAACGTTCAATTGACGATCAAACAGGCGATTCTGTCGCTGATTTTTTACAATGCGGCAATTACTCTAGCAGTATGTGGAACGCTCTGGTCGGTGATCATCGTGGCGTTGCTGATCCCCATGATGGGACTTCGCCGCTGGATGTATTCGACGTAGATTTATCCCCTGGGAAAATGCGGGCCGACTCCCGCTTTCAACACGCTTAAAACACGGCAGCATCGCACGGTCGAAGGTACGGTTAGGAATGATCCTGGGATACAACACGAATGGACTCGCCCATCACGACCCGTTTGACGCGGTCGAGATCCTGTCCCAGATCGGGTATTCCGCAATCGCGCTGACGATTGACCACCTGACGTTGACTCCCTTCGGCAATACCTATCTGGCCACGCGTCAGGTCGACCTTCTCGCTAAAGCGACCGAAGATGCCAAGATGCGAACCGTTGTCGAGACCGGGGCGCGGTTCCTGCTCGACCCTCGCCATAAGCACGAACCAACGTTCATCACGCCTGAAGCGAAGGGACGCGATCTTCGTTACGAGTTCATGCGGCACTGCATCGATACCGCGCAAACGCTCAAAAGCGACTGCGTTTCGGTCTGGTCCGGTCGTTTGCTCGACGACGTGTCTTTCGACGTCGCGATGAACCGCTTAGTCGCGTCGCTCGAGCCAGTGCTCAAGTACGCAGCCGATCGAGACGTGGTGATTGGCTTCGAGCCCGAGCCTGGGATGCTGATCGATACGATGGACAAGTTCGATCAACTGCGCGAGAGGATCGATGCTCCCAACTTTAAGCTGACGCTCGATATCGGCCACTTGCACTGCCAACGCGAAACGCCCCTGGGCGACTACATCCGCCGCTACGGCGATCAAATCGTCAATATCCACTTGGAAGACATGAAAGCAGGCGTACACGAGCATCTTCCCTTTGGCGAAGGGGAAATCGACTTCCCACCAATTTTTAAAGCCCTCAAAGAAATCGACTACCAGGGCCCCATCAACGTCGAACTCAGCCGCCACAGCCACGACGGCCCCAACATGGCGAAGCAAGCGTTCGAGTTTCTGAAACCACTTCTGTAACGCTCCAGCGACGCCCGTTCCTTTGGTCCCCTCGCCCCTTTGGGGAGAGGG